TCTTTCTTCCAGCAGTAGTATTCTTCAACAGTATAAAAAGAACTGGTGATAAGAAACTTCTTTAACGCCACTTTAAATCCAGGGATGTCATAAGATAATTGTTTAAGCTCTGGAGGGAGGTGGTTATAAAGTTTGATACCAGAATACCATTCACCTTTCTGAAATATCGTTAAGTTTACCACCTGAAGATGCAAGTCATGATTAAATCTGGTATTACAGGTGTGGACATCAGAGTTTGTTACATAGCAATCTCTATTCTTGACAACCAACATAAGTAAGGAAAATATATATTGCGATTGAAGTGACAGTATATGTAACTCCTTAAATAAATTACAGCACGAGTCCGCATTACGAGAATTGGTAATAATTCTTATTCTTTTCTGTATTTGAAATATGAGTTTTGCATGGGCCAAACTCCCCCAGAATATTATACCATAAGATGATATTGAATGAACTAGGGAGAAATAAACAGTTTTTAGGCACTCCAAGGATAAAAGAGGTTTTAATACTCTAATTACATAGGATGCCTTATTTAGTTTGGGTATCATTTGGTCAATATGGGTTTGCCATGACAATTTATGAACAATAACCAAACCTAAAAATTCTGTAAGATTCACATTGGTTATTTGTTTTTTTCCCACATAGTATATGTAAATCAAGAGCTCTTGTGTTTTTGGTTACAAATTGTAGAAAATAAGTTTTTGTAAGATTTAGTAGTAATAAATTACTATTAAACCATTTATTTAATTTTTCTAAAACTATATAAATATAAATATCTTTTTTCAAATCTTGGGGTATCAGGATTAGTAATTATTAGACTTGTATCATCTGCAAACAAGACTGGATTGGATACATCAGATATGGCATTAGGCAAATCTTTCACATATCGAAGGAAAAGCAGGGGACCAAGTATGGATCCTTGAGGGACTCCAACAGTAACAGGCTCCCATTTAGAGTAAAATTTATTTGAGTCAGAAACAACTATTACTCTCTGGTATCTATCTAATAAATAGGATTTAATTACATCGTTACCTCTTCCCTTAATCCCGTGATGTTCACAGATGCATCCTCTGAAATCTTCCTCTCTCAAACTAACATAATGAAATTGCATCCCTGAATATATATTTATGTGATATTTTAAATTATTGTCATAAATGTAAGAGCTTTGTTTTATTGATGGAATTGCTGTAGATGCCATCATTTCCTCATAGTTTTGATATCATCCATATAGATAGCATGTAAGATCACAGATATCAAAATTAGATAGAACATCAGAGATGGTGGGTGCAGTATGTCTGCTCATGCTTTTGTTGAATTAAGCAAGGGATTAATTGCAGACAGTGCTTTTGGACTTCGATTCAAATACAGAGTTCTAAAAATAAATTATATGGTTCTAAATGTGTATGCTTTGTAAATACTCGGAGTAAACATTGCAGAACGAGCCAATTCCATGACATTTAGTCCTTCTTGAAGGAACCACCAGTTGCTCAGCTTCTCAAGAATTTCCCAGCATATTGTGGAACCCAAAGCTTCATTACCATGTTCACAAAAGCCTGCTACTGGTCCCTGCCCTGAGCCAAATGAATCCAGTCTATCCCGCAACATTGCAGGAGAAGTAAAGAACAAAAACAAGAATTTATGGAGATTTTTCATAGGTGCACACATTTTTATTCAGGGTCCTGCAACCTCCATATCTCCTGTGAGGGCTTAATACCTGAGGCATTATTGAGTCATTATTTCTGGAGGGGCTGATCACAATCTCCGCGTAGTCTTAAGTTATGAACTTTCTTTGCCCACTCAAACACTGGGGTCATGAGTTCTAATCCCACTCGAGGCATGGATGTGTGCATTTAATCTGTATATGTATTGTCCTGTGTAGCTAAGTAGCCTTGCAACAGGCTGATTACCTGTTGAATGAACCCTGCCATCTGTCTGTAAGAGTAAGAAACTGAAGTGGAATGAAGTGATCCCTATGCCCCAGGGGGAGCAAGAGGAAATACAAATGAATGAATGAATTAATTTCTGGAGGGGATAGTAACCAGTGTCACCTGTCTGCAGTTGCTTTATAATCCCAGTAATTAAGGGGTTAGGAGACGTGAACCGAACATTTTTACAGCAAGATGTTGCACATCTTTACACTGCGTTCTCTGTGCTGTGCACACTTTACGAACGTTTTGCTCCATAAATAATATCAAACTACTTTCAACAATGATTTTAGCTGTGATCACTTGTCCGTTGCAGTTTATAAAGGCCTGCATGTACTGCAGCAGTTTTTATGCAGTCAAGAGAATTATGGGTGGAATCAAATCCATTATTGATGTCACTGATGTAAATTCGTTAGCATACTCATAAGAGAACATTTTCAACTAAGTGCAGTTTATAAATTGTTATTTTTTCATATCATCTGCAATATTTCTATGCAAACATCTGCATTTAATTCCAAGTTCATTTTATAAGACCCTGTTAATAGTAGAGATAACAGTGAATGTGTTTTAGTTATTAGCAGATATCACCAATCACATGTCATATGTAACAAAGAAAGATGTTACGTGATAATAGTGATAAACTGGTGATTGTGTAAACAGTATAAATGCAAATAGCACCAGGTTCTCACTGGATATTCCTCTAGACCCCAGTCTTTAAATCATTTAGGTATATGAATTGGAGTCAGGGTTAGGATTCCTTTTTGTGAAAAATTCTTCTTCTGTAAGAAGTGTTTGGAGTTTACAGATGAATTGGCTGAGTTAAAGAATCGAGTATTTTGCTTCCTGAGGTAGGTGATGGACTTGAGGTCTCCCGCTCCCAATTTAAGATAAAATGTTCAAAAACTACTATTCCTTCATAATTCAAATGTTGTGTAACATAGGCTTTAATGCTCACCAACTTTATTTCTAATGCTTTGTTCTCTTGTAAATTAGTGCATGTAGACTTTTTACTAATGGGGAACACAATGCAAGACATGGTTATATGTTGACAAGAGACTTTTCTCTTTTCTTCAGAAGAAATCCATGTAGGTGGATGAGACTACCAGGACAGTTTCATTTCAAGTGGATTCATAATTTCATAATGCTGCATGTACAGATTTAGCAATATGTCCATACAGTTGCAGTCCTGTACTGTTGAAATGGAATATTCATGGTCAACAAGAGGTGAAGTTGGATCTTAATGAAGCAGGTTGTAAGGATGGGGGCTGAATGGAACTGCCTCAACATCCTCTCCCATGGCAGGCTTTCATATTCTCTTTCTGTTATTAGAACAATTTTATTTACATGCATTGCAATTGTCTGATTTCAGGACTGCAGTGGCATATGTTGTGTGCAACCTTGTGATTGGAATCCTAACAGTGTGTATTGTGTATCAGTGGATTGGACAGAGAAAGCCAGACAATCTGAACATTAATATACCTGAAGGATTCATCTACACATTGACCTATGATGTAGCAGTCAACTGCATGGGAAACCTTAAACAGTTGTGGTCAGCTCTCACTTTCTTCTCAATTATCTGTACAGGTTTCATTGCTATGGTAAGTGTTCAGTGATATTTTGATTTATTTGAAGAACTTCCTCAGTTTCATAAGTTATGTAGTGGCTATAATTTAACTACAGAGTGGGGTGCAGAAACTTCTTTTTTGTGAAGACGCCTTGTGAAGGGAGGGGAGGTCGCAGAAAAGTTGGGATAGGCTTGGCGAACGCAGCAGTCACGGAAGTTTCTGTCTAATACCCCTCAGTAGGAAACATGAGATGGATGAGTGAGCAGTGTGCGTTTGCTGTCGAAGCCTATTTTTCGAACAACCATTCCTACGTGGAGGTGCAGCATGTGTTCTGTACTCACTTCGGAATTAAGCCAAGAGGTCCAGTTCCAGACCGGAAATCGATTGTTTTGTGGGTAGAGAACTTTAGGACAACCGGGAGTGTGGTGAAAAAATCATCAGGATGACAACGGACTGTTATGACGCCAGAAAACGTGGAGGCAGTTCGACAGTCGATTTTGAGATCTCCAAGACACTCTGCTCGCAAACGTGCAGTTGCCCTAGACATATCCAATCGTTCACTGCACCGAATTCTTCACGAAGATCTTCATTTCAATCCAAATAAGATGGTTGTTGTGCAAGAATTGTTACCATGTGATTTCCAGAACCGAATAATGGTGTGCAAAACGTTATTGGAAACTTTATCCCCTGATGCACTTGTTTTCTTTAGTGATGAGGCACATTTTCCCCTATCCAGATATGTCAACAAGCAGAATATGCACTATTGGAGTGCTAACACTCCCAGAGAGCTCCATGAGGGGCCACTTCACAGTGATAAGGTGACCGTATGGTGTGCGTTGTCGAGAATTGGAGTTATTGGCCCTTATTTTTTTTTGAAGAAGACAATAATGCAGTTACTGTCAATTCACAGCGGTATGTGGACATAATTAAAAACTTATTTGAACCAGCTCTTAAAGAAATGCATCTAGGAAATGTCTGGTTCCAACAGGATGGTGCCATGGCCCACACAGCCCGAGCTTCGATGACAGTTTTGAGGGCAGAGTTCCCCAGATGGCTCATCTCGCTTCGAGGTGACATCCCATGGGCAGCGCACTCACCTGATCTAACGCCCTGTGATTTTTTTTATGGGGATACCTCATGGCAGATGTTTTTAAACATCGCCCCACAAACCTGCTTCAGCCGAAGAATGTTATCCGGCAGGAAGTAGCCCAAATTCCGGTGCAGAGGGGAACTTCAGAAAACGGTTGCATCAGTGCATAGAGAACGGTGGCCACCACCTTCAAGATATTTTGTTTAAAACTACATGTTTTAAAAATTTAAAGTATGTTCTTACATTAGCTAAATATAAATTTTGTCTATCAGCAATAATTTTTATTTTATTTGCCTTCAAAAAAAAGGAAGTATCTGCACCCCACCCTGTACTTTTGTATGTGTATTACATGCTTGATCTCATGAAAATGGAAGGAATTGAGGGTGTTTGAGAACAAAATGCTGAGCAGAATATTTGGACCTAAGTGAGAGGAAGTAACAGGAGAATGGACAAAATAGCATGCTTAAGCTTATAATTTAAACTCTTCACAGGATATTGTTAGGATGATTAAATCAAAATGGATGTGATGATTTGGACATGAAACTTCCATGGAGCAATTATAAAAGCATACAAAAGTTTGGTGAGAAAATGTCGGGGGAGGAAGTAACTGACTGGGGAGAACTGCATATATATGGGAGGATAATTTTAAAGTGGAACTTTGATAAATAATGTCTGAAGCTGTGGTCTGGATTGAACTAGCTCCAGATGGTACACAATAATGGTTTCTGTGAAGATAGTAATATTTTTGGTTCCATAAATGCAGGGAATTTCTTCCCCAGCTGAAACTCTGTACATTATTTAAGCAAGGTCGTATGCCATGATGCTAGTCAAATTTTAAATCTGTGACAGTTGGCCACCCTAAAGAAAATATTTTTAGACACATTTGAGATCCAATTCTCATGTTCTAATCAAGATAGAATGTATCTCAATTTGAATGTTGATCTTTCAGTCTTCAACTGAGAGTTCTCCAGATTCCAGATAACTGCTTCTGTTTTACAAAGAAGCACATAAACTACCTGATCCATCAGAATCATAGTTGGCAGTGCTAGCATGAATCAGCTTCCAACAAAATTTGTCTGTCTTCCCTCTTTCTCCCCACTCTGCATCTTCTCTTTTGCTGTGTATGGTGTTGGCATTTGATATCAGAATGGATATGTAATACACTTCAGTGCTTTGTGAAGAATGACTAGTGCATGAATTGTGTTATATTTTAGCGTCCTGTTGCACTGATTCACGATCATGATGTGTATTTGTACCAACCGTCTTACAGTGCACACAATTTCACCTTTCTCTTCACTACATGTTTCGGCACTAATGTGCCATCTTTAGGTGTGGTTTTATTTACGTCAAACCATTGCACTGTATGCCATCATGTCTCCTTTATAAAATGATTAAAATGTATATATGTTATGTATAATAATAAAGCTTATATATTAAAACAATGCACGCAGTCACAAGGGAAGGACACAACACAGGACACAATATTCACAAGAATATAGGAAGAGTACTCCCATAGGAGAGGATTGACGTAACTCGCGAATTTGAAGTGCGACGTATAGATGACAAATCTTAAAAAGTTTTAATATATAAACTTTATTATTATACATGACATATATACATTTTAATCATTTTATAAAGGAGATATGATGGCATACAGTGCAATGGTTTGACGTAAATGAAATCACACCTGAACATGGCACATTAGTGCCGAAACATGTAGTGAAGAGAAAGGTGAAATTGTGTGCACTGTAAGACGGTTGGTACAAATACACATCATGAGCATGATTTGTGATTATAATGACAAATTCGTTCTAGTGGAGAACCATGTCACTCTTGTCTCAATTCTGAAAATTTTTTTCAAATCTCATCTCACACTCAAGAAGTAATTTTTGTGACGTGTCTGCTGTTTTTTTGAATACTATAAACCTGAAGTGTGTAGTAACCTTGACACAGCATGATGTTTCCTATTACCAAATTATATACAGTAATTTCATGTACTTCATGTACGCAGTCATGTTCATGAAGATTTGTGTCTTCTGGAATATAATGCCTTGTGGTCCATTGAAAGTCAACCAGCATTTCAAAGGAATATGTCGCCTCTATCTTCAAGGCACTTAGCACTGACTGGTTCATGATGGTTTCCTGCTTGGCTTACTCTTCAACACTGAAGATGGAGAAGATATAACTCTTCATAACCACCACTGTGAGAACCTCAAATCCTACATAATTACTTCCATATTGTTTATCCAGGTAGCAGTACTGTACACAGTACTGGTGGCTGTTACTCTAGAAGTCAATAAAAGATGGAGCTGGTGGACTGTGGCAGGGTGTATATGTATCACTGGCTTCCTCACTGGAATTATCTGCATTATACCGGTATGTGAAAATTTATTATTGCCTTTAAATGAAAAGCTAAGTATATTTATCATGTGTTTTACAGTGTATAAAAAATTATCTTAATAGCTTTGTTTATTCAAACCATTACCACAAAATATAAGGGGGCATGTTGTAGCATAGTTGGTTGAGGCATGACACTACAATCCTGCATGTTGCGGGTTTGATTCCTAATGAGATCACTGGATTTCTCAGCTGACCTAATCCTTCCAGCCACACTCTGACCCTGGGGTCGACTCAGCCTCTAACATAAAAGAGTACCAGGAATCTTTCTGGGAGGTAATGGGCGGCAGGCATGTAAGGCTGACAACCTCAGTACCATCTGTGACCCAAATTTCTAGAAAATCTGGGAGCCTTGACCTCTCACAATCCTATGGTCCTCCACGGCCTGTTACAAGGATAACTTTACCGTATTACAAAATATAGTGTTGATGTTGCTCCCAAGTTCACACTGCTGTCATGTTGGAATTATCGATAGCAGGATATTAAAAAGTATAATGATGAGGTGGCCTCTAGTGGTTTGATGTTCCTGCTAAGTTTTATCAAAATCCTCCAGTTGCTTTAAAATTTGTTACATTATCATGGTACCATACAAATTTATAAAGTAAGGAAACTAGTATAAGAGTCTAAATATAATTATCATTTCATTTTTATAAGAAGTTCCAGCAGTTATTGTGTTACAGGTTTTCCCTTAGTTTTCTTAACACATGTTGTGCATGTAGCTATCAATTCTGAAACAATGCTTTTACTAAATAATACCTTAGACAGTGAACTATATGCAACACCATCACATTGTATTAGTCGAACTTGGCATTACAACTAAATGTAAAATGTTTTCATTTTGCTGGAAGTCTTAACATGTCATTTTCTGTGTAGTATAATATGGAGGTTGTCCATATCTTGGATCATTATGTCATTGGAAGAATGGTCATAGCATCTACTGCCCTGGAACTAGTGGCATTTGCATGGATATATGGTGAGTTATCAGTATGAATGTATAAGTGAGTCACCAGTGATCTGGAATGCAATCCTGGTAGTTTTCTCAGCCTTCTTCAGCCTTGCTATACGTGAACAGCAGCATATGGCATTACACTTCATCTGCACTTTATGATGAGGGGAGGAGGGGTTATATAGAAAAATTCATCCAAAATGTAGTGAATTACGTAAATGCAGTTAAATTAACCTTTATTGTCCATGTGTTGCACAACTGTGCTGACACATGCACTACTTCAGCAGGCACAGCATTGCACTGTTTGCAGTATAACTTCCATTAGTGCAAAGTTTATATGAAGCTGGCAAAGCTGTAGTAGCAGGAGATTTAAATCCAGATGATGAAGGATAATGTAGAAGTCTAAAAATTTATTGTCATGTGAGAAAAACAGTAATTTTGTGTTTGTCTCATTTCCCTTCCCTTTCTTCATTTTTTTATTATGCTTCTACTTCTCTCTTCTTTCCTTCTCCCTTGTCATCTTACTCCTCTCCTCCATCTTCTTCATTCCTTCTTCTTCATCCTCATTTACTTGTCCAAAGTCTGAAAGGGTTAATGTAACACACTACTTTGTTTCAGGAAGCAATACGCTGTATAATGATTTTGAATTTGTTCTTGGCCGTAAACTTAACCCCATCTGGAAAATAATCTGGTTAATTACACCATTCCTTCTGATAGTAAGTATGCTTTAACTCTTTAGTGACCATTAATACTGCTGGTAGAATAATCCATACCCCACACTGTTCCATCAGGTTTTGGCTGTATTTTGTATTTTAACACTTTGCGGACCGGCATTTTTAAACCTACTACCCTAACTTGTGCCCTGTTCACTTTAAAAATTAATATAAAATCTCCTAATTAATTTTATGAATTAAAATTTTTGGAGAACACTTACCAATGCTCCTAGAAGTGCTTGAGAGTGTGATATTTCTGGAAAGATTCCCCTTTGTGAAGTGGCATTACACAGAACTTGCACATGTAGACAGTCATACTCCTTTTGTTGTGTACTGTGCAAACACGACATTGCCTAGAAGGCTGCTTCCCCTTGGCATGTTCACTCTTTACAATTTTCATGAGGGTATGTTTCCGCATATCACCTGAGAGTCGCCCAGGGGGGTGGGAGTAGATGGCCCCGGTCGTACTAAGACTGTGTCTGCCGCCACCGTGTGGTCTGTAGCCCAGGTTTTTGCCACATTCAGCAGAAATGCTTTGTATTTCAATTTTGAATGAGGGTTTAGATTTTTGAAAACCAAAAAATGAATTGAAAATGGCACAATCTGTTGATCAATACTCTTTCAGATTATCCCTCCTTGTATGGCCCATTAGAAAGATAATTGCAAAAAATTTTCTCATTTCTGCTGAAGTGACATCCACCCACTTCAACGCCTTATAACTTCTGTCATAATGTTCACGGTGTTGGAGATAGTATCTGTTAAGTTTCCTGACATAGCATGTCAAAGAAACTATCTCCAAAAAACAGTTCCGCTACTTCAGACACTTGCATTGGGTCCGATGGAATTTGCTTCACCCCTGGATTTCCAGTAAACTGTCCCAAAGCAGGCATTTTGTCTACTTTTCCCCATGTGGCTGTCCCCGCAATGTTGCTACCCGCACATTCGTCGGAGCTACGGTCACTTTCACTTTCACTGTCTGTGGTCACAATTTTTTGTTCGCCCCTGCCACACTCACTATCAGATTGTGAGTCGCTATCACTAGCAGACTCACAGGGGACATCAGATAGCTCATCAGGGAAGAAGTCACATATTTCTCGTTCTCCGAGAAAACACTTGGACCTCAACCTCTTCCGACCTTGATCCATTTTGCACTAGTAACTTCCTGCCTGGTGCATGCAGCTGGAAGATGAACAAAGGCATTTTCTTTTGGAGTGAGAAAGGAAAACAGTTGGGTCATAAACAGCGGGGTCATGTTACTGACTACGAAGCAAACATTCAAGAGGTCTATCACGCACCAGTCATGCGTCTGCCTGGCGCCAGTGCAAGGTATAGTGTGTTTCAACATAATGTGTGTCCTGAAGTCATAATAATATGCCACCGGTCCGCCATGTTTAAAAGCGCTGGGCATAAAAATATGCCACCGGTCTGCAAAGTGTTAATATTGTGTTGTATCCTGTTTCCAGCAGAGGAGTTGCACTCATCAGCCTTATCTGTTGGAAGGAGTGTTAAGACAGAATAAAGTAAATATTACCCATTAGTAAGATATTGCATTTGTCAGTAGACAGCGCAAAGTTCCAGTAAAGTATGCCACAAAATACAATTTGATTTCTACTTACATGCATACACTGCAATGTTGTATTGTGTGTTGTTCCATGTTTCAAAGCTGCAGACATGCACATAATTTGTATTGCTCTATGAATTTTGAAGTAAATCAAAAGAAAAGCCTTTAGAAACAGCCCTTGAGCTGTTGAAAGGGAGCTTTCCATTACTCTGCACCTTGTATTGGTCCTCTCAAATCTCCAGTCCTTCTCAACCACCTCCCCCCTCCCCTACATATCCATACCTATGCTTGGCTTGGTCTTCAACCCGGATGGGATTCTGCACGTTCCCTTCAAATACTGGTTCCTATCATGCCATCAGCTCCCAGAAGACTGTAATGTCAAAAATGAAAACCTTCATTATATTCTGTATTTTACAGTAAGACTTTTTATTTTGCACAGTTCTGCAAGGCAGTTGTAACTCTGAAATAAAACCTGGCTGCAAAGGCTTTAATTAGTTTATATTCATATTGTGAAATGTTAACCAAAAAATAAAGTAAGTCTGTGATATAGGGTCATTCTTCAGCTGATCAAGAGCTTCCCTCTTGTAATAGAACCTACAGGTTCAAGACAACTATTTACAAGAATCCACCTGTAGACCAAACTCAGAGCCAGCTGAATCCATTCCATACTCTTACATTCTCTTTCTATAAAATTTGTTTTAATATTATCCTCTTGTCTACATCTGTCTCTCCAAATGTTAAATTTATTGTAAATTCTGTTTTCAGGTGGTTGAGATATGGTCCATGGTGTCACTTCCTCTCACTGGGTTTCCAGGCAAAGACAGTGATCCTGTGTGGGTTTATGTAACAGGCTGGGTCCTGTATTTATCGACATGGGTTATAGTCATATCAGCAGCAATTCAACAGGTCAGCTCCCAGGTGGATTACAATCTGTCACAGGTATGTTGTGTTCTCTTCAGCATTCCATATCATCACCAAATCAGCAAATAAATATAAAGAAGGTTCACCTGAGGGTGTATACTGGATGTCTGTTTTTCCATTAGCATAACCACCGAGACAAGCACCTCACTGAATCATGACGAGTTGGATACCTTTCTTGTAAAATGCGATAGCCTGCTGGTAATACCACTCATATCCAAAATGCCGTAATTAAAGTTCAGACTGAAATTTACACGCCTTGACTGCCTTTGTCAGAATCTCAAAGCTACAGTGCAACCTCAATATAATGATAATTTATAAAATCCATAAAAAAAATACTTGTTATAATGAGCACTCATAATGTCCGAAAATGGTCGAAATATATAATCTTTAAGCCAAATGTCTAATTATATACAATACTGTATGGCACTGAGTTTTAAAACAAATGCAAGCAGTTTACTTCTTTCTTTCTTTTTGACACATTTGCAATGTATACTTGCAAAAAATGCCAGTATTAGCTTCACCATGTTTGTCTGTCTATGCTTCACTTGTAAGCATTGGCTGTTTCTTGCTTTCATGTGAGAATAGTTCTGCATGCCTAGCACTTCTGCTACAGTATGTGCAAAAATTCTGTATTGAGACATACATTGCTCAGATTTTGGAATGCGGTGTTTCTGCCGAAACAAGAGACAAGTGCTGGTGAGGAATCACTTTCTGCGAAATTGCTGGTAAAAATGAGATCTTTTCATATATGTAAAATTAACTTATTGAAAGTGCTGCTATTTTTTCCCCATTATAACGAAGTTCTCATTGTACTGTATTTCCACGGTATAAAATAGTGGGGGCTTTGTGGAAGATGTTCAGGACCTCATAATGCATTTTCATATAATGTAGCCTTGACTGTGTCTGCTACCTGAAGGTGCACTGTTTTGAAGAATGATGATTTCTCATGTAGTCAGTTAGTTACTGGAGAGGGTGGGTTTCCCCATGCACTGAGACCAGTATTGGCCCATTGTGCTTCCCTCTACGATATTCTACCAGTCTCTATACCCTACCGATATTGGTGCGTACCATCAGTCCTGACCAAGCCAGCGAGTTCGGCCTCTACTGTTGGGCGGGAAATGTCCTTGAATTTGGCTCAGTGACCTCCTTTGGAGATATGAGGTTCTTTTACGTGCTGTAAAGCTACGACACGGGACCCACGGCTTAAAGTCCCTCCCTGAGGACTTGTTCCCTGAATTTTTCCGCCCTTAAAAATTCCACGACCTCTGCCAGGTTTGAACCCGCGTACCACGAGTCATGAGGTGGGAACGTTACCTCTAGACTACGGAGGCCGCTATTTCTCATGTAAGTACTGGAACTGGATTTAGGCACATGTCTGCCAGATCCTTATGAGTGGTGACCTCTGATAAAGAGTGAATTCCTGTTTGATCTCTCTTGTAAACTGTGAAAAAACCTGCACTAAAGCCTTGTTTACATTGTGAAATATTTTGTGATGAGCTGTATAAAATATTTTAGTAAAGTAGCCAGAAGAAGTACAGGAAATTTATCCATATTTTGGAGAATGCTTGTAGTTAATTTATATCTTCATACATAAAAGAAAAATGACAGTATTGTATTAAGTAGGGATCAAGGAAATTGGACAGTACAGTGCATTATCCTGCCAGGCATTTTAGCCGATTAAAGGGCTGACAAGGAAGGAAAGAAAGGTGTTTCGTCTTATTCTTTTTTTTTTTTTTTTTTCCNATTGTGACAGTTGAGTACAGAAAACTCTTGACAAGTTCTGTCATATCCCATATTATATCAGTTTAAACTATACAGTGCATTATGTACTACTGAATGTGACCAGCTGGTCCATGTAGGCAGGTATGTGGCTACATGAGTATGAACATTCATATATTTAGAGTTCAATTAGTAATGTTTCATCTGCACGGGTTATGAAGTGTTGAATGGGAAAGTTGAAGTGGACAGGAATAGCCTGTACTGAAGTTCATCCAGCATTTGCCTGAATCAGTTACTCCTAAATGCAAGTTAGCTGTATTAAGCTGTCTGGTTCTTGTTACTTATCAGTGTTATTGTATTACAGAAATTTCTGAGTACATTAAAACCATCTCGTAACTGGGGACCTGTTGACACAATTTACCGCCACTGGTGGGTACAATGGCGAGTGACTTGCACCAAAACTGGACAAAGAGACTTCACTTTCAAAAGAAGAGGGACCAAAGACTACACATCCTCAGTGCAGAAATACCATACAGCGGAACCTGTAGGCATATACAAGGCCACGCCCTCGTCAGCTAATGGAACTCTGCAACACAACAGAGCAACTGACAGAGGGCCATTCACAATTCAGGCCAATGGTGACCTCCCAGAACATGTATGTTGGAGAGGAACTTCACAGCGAGATGGTGATGGTACCTGAAAGACCGGAGCTCGTTTGATATAGTGGTAGCAAATAAAGGCTTGTGAACCACATCCACAGACACGGCCGAACAGGGCTTATAAGCCACATTTACAAGGGTAGCATCCATAGTGGTAGCCGGACAAGGCTTGTAACTTATATCCCCAGTGGTAGCCAAGTAAGTCTTATAAGCCATATTGACAGGGGTAGCCAAACAAGGTTTGTGAGCCATATCAACTGGAATACCCATATAATAATTGTGAACTGCATCCAGTTACAAGCATGTTCATCATTCATGAATGTTACCTTAAAGCAAGTTCTTTTGTTGTTGTTGTTGTTGTTGTTGTTGCTGCTGCCTGTTATGAATTAGTTAATATCTAGCCATAATGCACTAATAAGTTGAGAGAATTGTGAACATAAAATACTGTAACGTGTTGCGTTACTGAAGACGCCGTATGGATCGTTAACTGGTTTATTTAACAACCTACAAGTTATCGGCTACAATTAATTATCACACAGTTGCGGGGTTTGACACTTTATAACCCTAATCGCAATAATCTGTTTACACTGTTGCGGGGTTTCACGATTTATAACCCTATGCGCAAATCAGTTCACTCTGTCTTCAGTAGTCTACATGTTTACAGTAGGGGAGCTATGTATCGCAGTATCACACACTCCCAATTACACAATCACACTCACGTCCGGATCTTCTTTCCGCGACGGCTGCTATACTCCAACTGTAGTCGGCCGACTGGAGAACTGTTGATAACACACTCACTCGTAGGCTTGCTCGGAACTATAAATGACACAAACTCCGTCCCAAGTGCAAACAATATATATTATATGTCTTTGAGCTTGTTCTCTTCCACACTACATGTTTCGGCCTCTATCGGCCATCATCAGGTGTATCCTCTAACGTTGCTGCTACACTGAACCCAGTCTAAAATTTAACATTTAAAAACACATTGTTATTTTCTTCGTATTATCAACATCCACCTCGTTGATATGTGTCTGGTATGTAGATTATATTGCACACGTCAAATTTTGATATTCCTGTAGTAGCACTATAAAATCTTTAGTTATGATTTTAAAATCCTTTAAAATTTTCTCTAAATTTAAAATTTAAAATTGTTAGGGTTACTCGCCCTATGTCTAAAGTGCTGGAGCGGCTAGTTGTTGTTTCCACACTGTACAGGTGTTATTCTGTGTAGTCTTCCTGTGTGCATGCCGCTGCTTGTCTTTACTACGTTAAGAGTATACACCTGATGATGGCCGATAGAGGCCAAAACATGTAGTGTGGAAGAGAACAAGATCAAAGACATATAATATATTGTCACGTATTGGGCGTATAACGCGACAAATAAATTCACGCCGGTCTCAGATTCAGTAGAACATTTATTGTTCTTCACGCTTACACAATCACATGCT